CTTTATTACACAGTCAAGGGAGTTTTACGATCTGTCGATCTTACCAGCTCCGATTACACGCCCCACTTCCGGAACAGCTAGTAAGCCGCTAACTTTCCTTCCATTTAACCTTTCCCCCTTTGGTAATATCCCTACGATTTTGTTTGCCAGCACCATTCTCGGCATTCGATTTCTATCAGTCTTGTCCTATGGATAAAATACTGTCAGCAAAACCATTCTCGTCACACCGATCTTTGTACAAGGGCCAACAATCATGAATCCCTTCAAGCCTAGTTCCACCCGGCACAAAGAAAATGAAGACATGGACATTTGATTGGTTAACAGCCAAGTATCCATGATATACAACTATTATTTGCAATGCATTCCTTAGAAATTAGCTCGCCAGTAATCACCACTGGAATCAGTGAATAGGTTTAGTGAAGACAACATTTGATTTCTTGGATTGGTTTGGTTTGCTTTGATTTGTTTGTTTTGTTTTATGGCATATCAACCTCAATGGATTATTTAATTCCGACAATTTTAATTGCTGGTAATATAATTTTTTTTTTTTAAATATTACTGGTAATAATTTCTTCCTCAAAAATTTATTGCTGGTAATAATTTTTTACAAAGTATTTCTGGTATTAAAACCTATTTTTACACTCAGTCTTTTAACCCTAGTTTGGGGATTAACTATTTACCCATAGCTGGGACCCTAACAGGTGCTACCACACCGGGTTATGGTGAACCTGGCAACACCAGCAATTAAGAGGTAATTCCACGCTCTGCAAAACCTCCTGAACAGAGGCCTTGCTGCTGGACGTACTTTATCGTCTAACCCAGGACACGGATGTAGTTTATCGTCATACCCAGAACGGACATTTCTGGGTCGTTTTTATGTGATTTTTGTTCAAGATCCGTCCTTCGGTTTCTACGCCTCCAGTTCTCCAAAAAGTATGGATCACCGATGTTGTCAGTGTTTGCTCCTGCTTCATCAGCCTTTTGCGAGAGTTATGAAAATGCATTTATAATAAACTGTTCAATTGCATTATCCTGATCTGAATAACTCATCCTTTCTTTTCTGTCAAGATCTTCTTTCATTACTACGTCTTCTGCTTCAATTCTTAATTAGTCAGAATGGGCCATTAGGCTTTTTACTTACTTTAATATAATGGCTGTATTATGTCCCTTTTGCATACAGACTGAAAATGTTTTTTTTCTAAAGCAGTTAAGGTAATTTTTTCAAAAAGCAAGGGACTTTTTCTTTCATTTTCATGCTCATAGTTACAGGATTTGTATTTCTTACTTTCATTTATTATACTGTATATTTCAACATTGTCCTCAGTAGAATTATTTTATTTTATGAATTTCATCTTTTGTGGTTATTCCACACATGTATCTAGAGACAAATTATTCAATTGTAATTGTTCCAATATCTTTTATTCATGTAATGTTTCTATCATACCGTCAAACTGTAATTAAAACGACTCATTGTCAATGGTCAAATCTTGACTACTAATTTTCTCAAATTCTCAGAATCTGCTTCTTTTTCTTCTTCTTTTTATGTGCCATGTCCTTTCAGGACGTAGACAATCATGGCTCTCCACCTCTCTACTTTTGTAATGGCTTAGTTTATCTTGCGTCTTATTTCTTAGGACACTCGATAGAAGATGTCGATTTTCTGTTCATGATCATTCTTTTCCCAACTATGAATATCTATATCATCTCCCAACGTCATTAGTACGTTGGCCTCTGGAGGGAAAGCATAATCGTTCTTCTATTCGTACACTAGTTTGGGATGTGCTATGGAATGCTTAGATGGTCAGCCCAAATCTCAGTTTGTAAATGCCCAGGTCATATTCTAGGAAGCGATTAAATAGACTGGGTCTCTCATTTTTTTCTTGTTGCATTCCTGATGAGATTTAAAATGTTTCCGTTTCGAGGTCCTCGCCAGACAAATGCGAAACTGTAGATCGATACAATTCCTATATTAGATCGTTCAGTAGATTCGGATCTTGAAAGGCGGGTTCTCACGAAGGAAAAAAAAAGGAATTCTATATTGATGTGGTTATTTGCTTTGTGAGGTTGTAATAAGACTTCCTATTAGAGAGGTAAGCATTTTGTGGAGTTGTTTGATGATATATATGCTATCATTGCTTCCCTTACTAGAAGGAAACAAAACTGGGTTATGAAGAGTCCATTTTTAGGAAAAGATGAGAACTTAGTTAACACTTCCGCTGCTAACTACGGAGATCTACGTTTTTCTTATCTTGCTCCAGCTGGCTAAGTACGGAAAAAATACGTTTTTCGCATACTGCTGGTATGGGTGTCCCGTTGCGCCATCTATCGCAAAATACTGGAAATTCTAACTATTCTATCATGCAAATTATTAGTCAGCCTCGATTTTTTCTACGTCATGGTAGTTTCGTATCTAATTTGAAAATATTCCTGACGAAAATGCGGCTAGTATGCGGATGCTCCCAGCGCCCGTGACCTTGGGTCATTCCAAGATGGCGGCGTCCATGAAACGAGCAGCGCGGCTGTCTGCGGAAGATGTTTTGGCAGAAATATTTGCTGACGATGTCTCTGAATCGGATCGATTTAGCGAAAATTATGATTCTGATGATCCCGTGTACGTGCGGAAGGATGGTAATGATCGTGAAAGTGAAACTGACGGAAATATTAGCGATGATTTGAGCGATCACGGTGAGGTTGACGTGAATGTTCATCATGGCCAAGGTGATGGTCAGCCCATAAAAAAGCTGGAAAACGCTCAGAAACAAGGCACTTCTGCAAAAAATGTGAAGTCCCACTCCACAAAGGACAATGCTTCAAAAGATATCATGTGTATACCCATTACTGATCTGGTAAGTTATTCCCAGATATATCCATGAAAATGGAAGGCTGTAAAACACACTGGTGCCAGTTTTCTGTGTAATAAAATATGTAGGTTGAAATTTGGCAGTTTCTTTAAAAATGGCTGGCCGGAGGTGGGCAGCACTGGGCAAATGAGTAGCAGTGATAGTGTTAATATAATATTCAGTAATATTTTCACCTGTTAGATGCAATTGAGATACCTCTTTATGTGTTAGGGCCCTGAGGATTACCTTTCCGTTTCCATAATGCCTTCATGTGCGATAAACCCCAATTTTGCGAGATGGATTTCTATTCCAAGACTTTCTTTCATAAAACAGAGAATATTGTTACTGAATTTGGGGAGAAACTAAGCTAGTTTCAAAAGTTCTATCTCAATGTCTTGTGATGTCTTGTTATTCTTTAGTTTTTTAATAACTTTCTTAATTTCTTCATCACAAGGTTCATTATAGTTTATGTTTGGGGACGGACTTTGTAAGGATTGGAAGCATATTAAATGCTCTATTTCTGCGCGCATCCTAAGTTTAGTGTGTTCAGGGTTTAAAGTGTTTTTTGAGACGAAGGATTTATTCTGTAGAAGTTTTGATTGTATGATATTGGGTTTTCGCTGACCTCCACATTTCCACACATAGTCGATGCCATTTGCCTTCGTTAATTTTATTTCCGATTTTCCGAAGATAGCAAAAAATTAATTAGTTTTTTTTTAAATAGTCTTTGTTATATTTTGTTATTTTCCCTTCCATATTTGTTAACAGTAATATTCACCGTTTTCTTATAATTAAATATTCAGTATTCATTGTGCAAGCAGCATCTGCTACTTTCGGTTGGAAATTATAAAACTTTTTCAGAAAAATGAGTTTTTCGACTCCAGTAATTATTATCGATCTTTCTAGTAAAGATGTGGGTTTCCTTCCTAACCTTTTGTTTAAAGTAGTGTGGAATGTCGATATCTTGATTATGTCACTATTTTCACTTCAAATTACTTGTTCTATCCATTTTGAGTGAATGTGGTTTCTCTTATTTGTGATTATGAAGCGCCAATATACAAGTTTAAAAAAAGGATTGTGTTATCACTAAAAGCTAGAGGATACATTCGCTGTAAGCCATTTTTAAACATTGAATCGCGAAAGCGGTTGTATACTGCTGACAGTTTAGATATTTCGTTTTGGCGCCATGCAAGATATCCATAAAATGTATTCACTAAAAACCGTAAAGCAAACTTGAAGGCAATACACTCAGTCTGAAGTTGAACCCGTTACGCTAATCATCCTTTGATTACTCCATCCATAACCTTTGATTTTTAAGCTACGTTGACTATATCAACATATTTAGCATGAAAAAAGCAAAACATTATAGTTTATGACTCAAAAGTAAATTGTTTTTTTCATTGAATTTTCACAAGAGTGATAACTGGCTCTTGATGGGAGATTATAAGCCTTTTTAGCTCTGACCACCGCTTTACCGGTCGTAGAGAAAAATGACGTAATGCCCAGCCATCGTTTTGAACAGTGGTAGAGAAAAATGACAAAATGCCTAGCCACCGGTTGAACGTTGGGTAAACACGTCGTGTTTTGATATTGAGCCAATCAGAAAAGCCTTAATATTCTGATCTTATCGAACTTTATACCAACATATCCACACTTTTTCATTGGCTTTTTTTTGCATGTGTTTTAGATAAAAAGAAACATTTTTACCATTAAGTGGACATTGACTCAACCTGGACTGTCGGGGAAGCAATCAGGAAGTTATATTTTTTCTAATTATTTTTATATCTACAGTAAAACATTACATACCAATTATTTGCGAATTTTGACACAGGAGCTCAGTTAGAAGAGTTAAAGTTGTTCAGGAACGCAGGACTCAGAGGGTTAAGTAACAGTAGGTTTCCTGTTCTTAACTTTCCTCAGTATTTTGATAAATGTTAGAATTTCTCTTATCTGGATGGCTTCAGGTTTTTTTCACCGATGTACATATTTTCCCGTCTCTTAACAATGTTCATCGCTACTGCTCTAGGCATAATGGATAAAACTTCCATGTTTATCTTTCATCTTTCGAGGGGTTAGAACTTTCGCTTTTTGATCATGAGACACCGGCTCGTATCTCACCATGGTCGATTTTTCAGGAAGGTGACTTCTTGATGTTATCTGTGTATAGGAGGCGATCCCAGGGTAAGGCACCTTTCGAAAAAACATACCACGGATTGTGAGTGAAATAGTGTAAGCAGAACACTCGAGAAGCTTCGAAAGTTGAGCACGCATGAGGTCACAAGTCATTGAAGATTTGATCGTGCTGGACTTGTTCAGACCGTTGATCAAACTAGATAACGCCCACTCTCACAGAAACTGCAACTGAGGTCTGGTCAGCATAGTTTCAATATAAACAACAAGCCGGCGCTGAGGGTGTTGAACAAACACAAAATGTACCTCAGCGGGCGTCTACAACTGGGATTGGATAGTAGACGAACATCGAGTGGCAGCGCGATTCTGATATTTTGAGATTTATTTTTCGTTATTATTTTATTTTTATAAACAACTGATGACAATGAATTCAATAATTTAAGAAGACAGATCAAAATAGAGACAAATAGATATCTCTTGGAATATTCCAACAGCAGGTGCGAAAAGGCATTCCTAATAAACTGTTAAATCAGTTCCTCAAATTTTCTTTTTCTTAATCAGCATTTAAATCAATTCTTTAAATTTGCCTATTCTTAATCAACATTTAAATCAATTCCTTAAATTTACCTATGCTTAATCAACATTTAAATCAATTCCTTAAATTTACCTATGCTTAATCAACATTTAAATCAATTCCTTAAATTTACCTATGCTTAATCAACATTTAAATAAATTTCTTAAATTTACCTATTCTTAAGCAACATTGTAAATCAGTTCCTCAAATTTTTATTCAATTCTTCAAATTTTCTTATTCTTAATCAACATTTAAATCAGTTCCTCAAATTTAATAAAAAGGAATTTCACCTCGAAAATGATAAAGCATCTAGTAGGAAATGAAAATATAACAAATTGATAGATCTCATCTTTAAAGTACAACTATTGTGGAAAAACATTCACTTCGCCTGTTCGAACAGCAGTCAGGTTTACAGTATGCGTCAGAAAAAGTCTTTTTCACGTGAGACAATTAAGATGATGGAAGCCTTGCAGCTGATCTCTCCTCAGAGCTCGTCCCAACATCACAATTGGGAAATAACTGATCTGTAACCCCAAAATCAAGCTAGAATCATTTCATTCTCACCTTTTAAATCCGGAGTTTTCTCCAGTCACGATTATACCCTGTACAACTCCCGGATTGTTATAGAGTAAGAGACACAGTTCATGTGGATATTTGGGGAAGATAACGTTTAATCCTAGACTTGACCACGTTAAAACCGTAATGATCGGGAAGGCATCCTCTTAGGATTAGCGACTTGTGGGAACAAGCTGCTCGAGTATACGGGTGTTTTCCTACAATTGTCTGTAATTGAGGTTTTCTTAGCGTAGCTTTGCTCTGTGGGTTTTGAAGAACCAATAATATACCTGAGTAGTCACCGGAAAAAGGGATTAGTTGTATATCCTTGTAGACCTCATAGTTACACGAAACTGACGGATGCCTACAATTATCAGAAAATGGTGAATACTCAACGATTTTCTCTTCAATCCTTTCAAAAATATTTTTATCGTTCTTATTTTTTGTTTTTCTCTTCATCTTTCTTTGCTAATGGACCTTACGCAAATAGGTATTCTCATGGTCTTTTGCAAGATTAACACCTGTGACTAAAAATCTTATGTAAAGATTTTCTGTAGTTCCTGTCTTGTAAATATCGACCTAACTACTGGACGATTTAATCAACTCTGTACTGATTAAATATTTCACATCGCAGGATTTTCTTTCAGAGAATACGGTTTTCGCTTCTCAAGTTCAATTGCTGATTAATTTCTAACGTAATAAACCCTGCCTGTTGCAGCTCTGTCCTGTCTCTCCGGTGGTTCTGGCCGAAAAGTAAACCACTCGGTCCTCTCCCGGTGAACTGAAGGAACTACCACTATCCGCCACGTTGCTAATTTTTGATCCGAACAGCAGTATTTCGATCCCTCAGAACAATCCGGAGGTAGGATGAATTAAATGGCTGGGTATTACGCCGAAAGGAACTCACTATTCATGCCAAAAAAAGTTTCTTGTCGGAGCCGCAAAGACATGGAAAAGAAAAAATAAGCAACTCTTTCGGTTCCTGTACAAAGAGCCCTTTTTAGGCCACTGTTTTTATGTCACTACCGAGGAATTTACTCGAGTACAAAATGTCGTAACGAGGTTTACTCGTTTGGGGCCGGAAGTGAGAGAGAGAGAGAGTCGGAAAAATTCTGCCTAAACAATTTCGCCTGATCTAAGGGAAGTAATTCGTGGGTCTTCGTCTGCACCCTACGATATAGCAGTCTGCTTTCTCACAGCTTTGTTGATGAAGTTATCTGGATTCGTACGGGTTCTATTTTTATCTCTTGGTTCAGATCGGTCTTCTTGACGCAGGACAACCAACAGACCAGACCAGCGAATTCCAACAAGCCGTCTCCTCCGCGTTCCGATCTGCGATCTGACTAACTCAAGCGTGCGGGCAGCTTATATAGAGAGAGGCGGAGCTAAACCATCTTTAGGCACCGTCCCCGAATTTTAATATGCAACGCGCCTTTGACCACTATGCAAGGTTTTCCGGTCCCCGAAACACAGCGGGAACCCAGTTTTCAAGAGATACTAAAATCGGATTCGGACCTCCTGCTGGGTCTTCCGCAGACAACGTCTACTTAAGTTTTGCCAAAACCACTTATCCCGTCTGGTTGAATTCCGCCATTCAGACCACTCAAAAGTGCAATTCGCCATTTATCACAAACTTTACTTTAACGAATCCATCTCTTAATCACTCTGGAATTATTACATTTAATTAACTAATAACTCAACCCCACAAACAATTATTAAGAGAAAAAAAACAAGAGAGAGAAAAAAAATTAACTTATTTCTGGAATTACTCCGGAATCCCTTCTACCCAAGTAATTAGCACCTTCATCCTAATTCTTTAGCACTGTTGATGACTAAATTCACCTCGGGATGGAGGGTTTCTCTCTCTATGTCACAATTAACAATTCTTGCTAAAAGAATCTATCAAGCTTTAAATAAGAATTAGTGAAGTTCGGGGTCTTACTTTGGATATCTTGAAGGCTTTTGACATGATTTGTCTTGCTGGTATTCCATAAAGGTTATAATGTTTCTGGCGAAAATTTTGATTTAATTCAATCATTCTTAGCAAATTGCGAAATGAAAGTTATCTTGAATAGTCTCTCATCTAGATGCATTACATTAATACGGAGGTCCCCCAGGCGTCAATCCTTGGACCTAATTTGTTTGTAATTTTCACCAACGACCTTCCCGCTGTGATCAGATCTTGACTCGGTATCAATGCTAAAGACAATATTGTTTCCTTCTGTTTCAGTGGTAAGTATCATAGATTCAATATGGGAGAAGATCACGAAAATGGCCTTCAATCAATACTATCCCTCTCAGTCCCTGTCCTGCCATCTCTTTACACCAGCTACTTGTATAGGTTACCCGCGACTCTCTTACTGCTTGGTGAGTGTCAAATTCTTCAAGCCTTCTTTCCGCATAATGTGTTCCAGAAATTTCAACTTTCTAATTCTAAATATTAGTGTCTTTTCTTACCATTTGCCTTGAACTTTCCTCGATGATAACATCTTCCAGCCATGATAATCTTAGCATTCTTCCGTAGATATCTCAATTTTCTCTTCATCTCTTCTGTGTGAAAATCTTGCCGAGTACTCACTGACATATAGCAAGATTGATGTCACATCGCAACTCATTTATGTGGTTTTCCTGTTTTTTTTTATACTATTTCAGCTTTTGGAAAGCAAATATTTCTATTCGGATACGATTTCGGTGCCATATTTTTCGTCATCTGCTAAAAGCACTCCCCAGATAGTTAAATGTATGCACTTGCTTGATTTTGACTACTCAATTGAAGCTGGCATCTTGAGCTGTCTCTCTTACTAAGAACCATATAATCAGTCTTCTTATAACAGACGGTTAGTCCTTTCTTCACGCTTTCCTTGACAGCATTTTGGTCCTTTACAACATACAGAATAAATTGCCATAGTATGACAAGAAACAGAATGGGTCTACATAAGGAGAATATCACGTATTTACGTTGTTTTATGAATGTGTGTAATTTTCTATCATTAGCAGTCAATAGATAGGAAAAGTGCATTATTAATACTACTAACGTTTTGTTTGCAAAACTTCGTTCGTATATTTCAAGTGTGCTCAATTTATGGACAATATGAGAATTTAGCTTGTACATAAGGCTTACGGAAAAACTGAAAACTGAATACTAATTTTGCTAATTTACGCCATGGTATTTATACAGAGAAATAGGTTCCAGTAATTTAAAGTTATATTTTATTAAAACTCAGAAGTTTATTGATTAATAAATATTTTACCGATTTTTAAATATCTATAATTAGGAGGGAAATTACCGTTGATCATTTTCTGGGGCGATCTCTCAAATTTCGTAGCAGAAAACAAAAATGTTTTTTTGATTTTACAAAGGTTTCAGCGTGCTTGAAATAACGTCGCTGATTGGTTAATTGTGACACTATTTAGGGTTGCGTGAAAAAAAAAGAAAAAAGGCGAGAATTAAAATTAGGTGATAAGAATCTATCACGAAAAGACGATGTTATTTTTTTTCTAACAAAGGAAAGTGCTAAAGGTTTTATTCTCATTAGCGAGGAAAGCAAGGTCGCGGATGTGTCGAATTTAATTTAATTTATGACGACGCACCGAATAAGATAGCCAATCTGCCCTTGGCAATGGTGAAGGTCTCAGGTCGGTCAGGTGGCCTACGAAACAGAAACTGAGAGATAATATTAATTAGGTCATGCACTGGGTCGCGGGAAAAATGTCCGCTGGACCACCAGGAAGAAAAGATTGACCCATTAGCCATCTACGGAGATGTCGTTTGGAAAAGGCACCTGCTTTGTGTCAGGAGCTGGCTATGATAAGAAAATTATGTTATCGAAACGAATAATTGGCTGTGGCGCAATACGTCCAATTGACCACCACTTGTTTGGCGAAGGTCCGAGGGATAAATTCAGGTGACATTCAGATAAAATTGAGATTAAGGGACCACACTACGAGTCTAAGGACTTGTTGTCGAGAAGAAGAAAGAAAAGAAAAAGAAAAAAAAGGAAGATAATTTTTTTTTTTCTTTGAACAAGATTTTTTAAACCGAGGCTAGTCTAGCCACACCCATGCTGCTGAGCACCCATTGGCTGAATGGTGGCGGAGCGTTAGGCGAAGGTAAACTATGAAGAAGGAGGGGAGGACCGTTAACGCCCCCTTAAGGGATCGGTGTGAGATGCCACTGTGAGAGAGAGGGGAAACCTGTTGACGCCCCCTGAAGAAATTGTGTGAGATACCCATATGAAAAAGGAAGAATCTGGAAGGACTTCCAAAAATGGAAAATAAAAAATTTTCCTGACCGAAAACAAAGAAGTGGATTGTGGATTTAGAATTATCAAGGAACCTCAAACCCCGACAAGCCCACCCCGGTTTTGGTCGGCGTCCATATAAGCAGAGTCGCAACGAGTTGCGGCAGTTGAGAGGCAGTTCGCACTGAAGTTCGCAGTTGGGGTTAGACAGACAGGCAAGCAGTTGCAGTGAGCTGAGAGCTCTGAGGACCCGCCTCGCAGGAAACTGACTGAGATTCACGCAATCACGACCTCAACTTCTAACCAAGAACAATTTATTTTTGAAGAACGTCTTAGACTCACACCAGCAAAACAAGTTTTACGAATATCGCCTGAAGATACACCATAACCAGTTTCTTAAAAGAACAATTTAAGATGTTAAGACTCGCCTAACAAACACAAAGTGTCACGAATCCATATTAGCGGTTTTGGAGAAAGAAGCAGTTCTGTATTCAGCAACCAGATATAAAATATTGTTATCCTTTTTTAACACATTTGAACTTTTCGAGTTATTACTTTATTTTCTTTTACATATACTTGCGTGGTATTACCCTTGTTCGAACTCGACTTGCATTACGGCCCCGTAACTGATTGATTTCCTCTACCTAAGATCAAATCCCAACGTGGGTAGGTTAGACTAGAAATCAAAACAGTTACTTCGGTAACCAGACGTTGGAGGCGAGCTGGGAACGACAAGGCTGATACCGAATCTAACCAGATTCCCATCCGAATCAGCAAAAGGTTAGAACGTCACATTTAGTGTCGCGACCAATACCAAGTTACATTGGTCGTCACAGGACAGGATAGGACGGCGACGGCGCGGAGACAGACGGGGTGACGTCACAATTGGCGCCGCGACCAAGACAACACGACGGGCGCGGCCAGGCAGACGTCACGATTGGCGCAGCGACACCGCGGGACGTCACAAATAAACACGAATGTAGAAAAATAATTGGAGCCTACATTTTGCTCAAAAATGAGTCGACTTCTGTGGGAGTCACTTTTTGCAGAGAATTGAGATTTTGAATGATATTTCTTAAGTATACTGATTGTTTCTACAATTCTTTTACGGGGTTCTACATAGATGTGACTCGGAAGTTGTCTTGGCTGCATCATCTATCAAACTAAGAAAAAAACAGCCCTCTCAACAACGGGCTATGATACACCTGCACTAATCTTTCTGTGTCTGTCACCATGTTGTAACCTAGGGAAGGTTACTGAATAGAATAATCAAACAAAGGTTGGTAATGCACGATAATACTTAGGACAAGAACAACTCATATAAGATTCACCAGCGGCACGTAGAAGTTGAATCAATTGCTAAAAGTGAGTCAACTGCAGGATATCTACCAACCTCTCCACACGGTCAAATGTGGCACAAGGCCGAATTTGATGTGTGGTGTCCGAGCCAAAAATTCCCCGTAGACCCTATATATAAAGAGGTCCGATAGCTGTTTCCCGAGACGAGACTCTGCGCTCGACATAGCTTTGTCTGATGCTCTTCTCTGCCCGGAGACAGAGAATTTGACCAGAACTGCTAGAGACGAATCTCCAACTGCAGACCAACATACAGTATTTACTACTGTATTTATATGAATTTCAACATACCCATTGTCGTCCGTAGGTATGCTGTAACACATTAAGTGTCGTTTCGATATCTTATGGTGTTAAAATTGTACATACCATTAATAAATATTATATAAAACATAGAAGTGCGTTTTTCTGTATTTGTGTTGAGATCTTTCAGCATTTTCTTTCCAAAAATATATTTCTTGTTCCAGTGTCTTTATCGAAAAAAAAAGACTGTTGTTTGAATTTCTGGGATGAGGATCTATTATTTACACTATTTATATTTGGACTATTGTCCTCATCTTTTTTTTTTATCACAACGTTTCAAATACTGTGCCTGAACTGTACCCTTTATTTAATCTACGGCAATAGACGATTCTCGTTCCACATTATTAAATAAAAATAAGAACTAGGTGATACCCCTAGACATGGGCAATAGAACGAGAACAGTCTAGCCCCGTAGATTAAATAAATGGTTAAGTTCAGAATTCCCTGTAGGTTACCCAGATCTATATACGCCAGAGGAGGGCGGGTGCACAGCGGCCGCGACGTTGTGATAACAAAAACTACGATGAGGATAATAGTCTGTATATAAATAATGTAAAAAAAAAATGTATTTTAAATTCTGTAAAGTAAGATCTGAATTTACAGCAATTCGTTAGAAACAAAGAGGTCAAATGAATTTTTATATGATATCAATCCCTTTATATGACAGGGAATACTAAAAAAAATTCGTCATAGACCCTGAGGTAACAAAGATATGGTTCTACAGAAGGATAACAAGAACACAGTGGTGTGGACATATGAGAAACGAATTTTAAGAAAGATGGAAATAAAAAGAACACTTGTATCTACGGCCGAAACGTTATGATGACAATAACAAAGATGAAGACACTTAGGGTAAATAAGAAAAGACGTTGACATTCACATTCTGTTGAAGGACGTTCTAATTGTTAAAAAATTTAGCTTTCTTAATCTGTTTTTGGAGTTAGAATTTTACGCAATTTTTGGCGCCTAGAATTCTCTAAGTGCAATAGTACCAAAAGCACAGGAGCTCTCCACAAAAATACCGAGAGTCACTGCTTCTGCAAACTTCCGATATTTAACTCCTGACATTTTTCTGACAACGGCACACCCTGTCTCTCTCTCTTCTCTCTCTTGCTCTCTCTCTCTCTAATCCCTACTTTCCCCCTCTCTCTCTCTCACACACACGCGCGCCCACACACATACTCTACTCTCTCTCTACTCTCTCCACTCACTCTCTCTTTACTCTCACTCTCAAACTCTACTTTTTCTAGTCTTACTCTACTCTTTCTCTCTATTCTCTCTACTTTTTCTCAACTTCTCTCTACCTTCTCTATTTACTTGCTCTCACACACACTCTCTCTCTCTCTCTCTCTGACCTGACTCCTTGTATCTCTCTACTCTTTATGCTATCTCTACCCCCTCTCTCTCTCTCTCCCTCTCTCTCTAACTCTGTCTTTCTCATTTTTTTAAAAATTTTATTAATAATTGGATGTGAATAACATTAGATTAAGGAAATAAAATCTTTTACGTCGAATTCGCTGACTCCATCTTTTATTCTGACAATAGGGTTTTAGTAGTTTTATTGATCCAGTTACGGGGAAAGAAAGAAAGAAAGAAAGAAAGAAAGAAAGAAAGAACGAACGAACGCAAGTGTTTAGAAGTGATTCCATCTCTCATTGCACGCGGTTATTCATTTTCGAATCCTGTAAGACAGAGGGAAATTTAATCTTACATTTCCATCATATTATCAAATAAAAAAAAAAAGTTAATTTTCATCAATATGAGAATTTGAGATGGATCTCTATCTTTAAAAGGCAGGGTGTGTGTGTCTGTGCGTAACGAATTCACGGCCGCAATTTTAGATGGATTTGCACCAAAATTTACATGCACATGTTCCAAGTTAGCGGGAAGGCCAAGACCGACTTTGCATTTCCCAACTCCCAACGATAGTGGAAATAATTCATGCTTCTACGGCAGTTTTCATGTAGTTTGCCGCCATTTTCTACTGGCCAGAGTGAGAGCCAATAGCTGGCTGCCACGAATAGGCAGGAATATACTATTGGCCAGCGTGAGAGCAACAGCTGACTGACACGAATGTTAACTAGCATGCAACAAAAATCGATAGCTGCATTCGTCACAAGTGGGAAAAATTTAAATCTGCATGGCACTTTACTCCAATTGGCTCATTCGCTTGCTTAAACTCAACATTGATTCTGATTCCGCAGAACTGGGTTATGTGTGAAAAAGTATTTGTTGTTAACATTTTCTTTTTTTATTCGGTTTTTCCAGTTACGAGTCCTTTTTTAAAGCTGATCGTTTTGTGTTCATTTTGTTTAGTTCTTTTTTCGTAACAGATTTAATGTTTAGTATAGAGCTTAGAAAAAATTTGCAGTGTGAGATAGGCAAGAAGTAAGGCATGTAGCAACATCGGCACGGCAAAGGGCACTCGTTTAAAGGCAAGGAAGCGCAAAAATATTTTAAGTCAAGTGATAGCGATTGCTGTATGAGTCATACGATTTTTGAATCAAGTACGGGCAACGCCGGGCCATGCTGCTAGTTGTCTTTTATTTTTCATTCTAATTTCATCGAACTGAACTGAGTTTTCAAAATGCAGTGCTATGTTCTTCTTTCTAAGTAACATTGAACAACAAATTCGGATTTTATAAACATTTCTACAGTAAATAATAATAAGGACATCTCTGTCCATGGAATAATGCCGTATTTTCATGGCCCGGTTTCAAGGGTGTTGTTTTTTTTTACCTCAGTTTGAAGGTTCTGCCAAGATAACTTTGGAGTAACATCTATATGCATAGAGGACTTACGGGGACACCTCGACGTTGTGTAACGGTTAACAATCTTGATCCTAACTTTTGGCCTTGTGCCGCTCCGCTTAAAAAATCACCATCTTTCAATGTCATATGGCTTACGACCATATGACATTGAAACATTGGTGCTCGTATGATCACCAAAGTTAAGCAATGTCGAGCCTGGTCAGTACCTAAATGGGTAACCACCTGGGGATACCAGGTGCTGTAAGCGTGGATGTGCGGGTGGTTTAATAGATAATGGCTCGGAATTGCTAATCGGAGAGCCGAGCTCCAATTTCAGTCGGGTTTGTTAGATTCACTGACATTAACCCTAAGAAAAGGATGAATCCCTATCTATTCCCCACCGGGCATTGTTAAATTAGCAGGGCTTTCGATCTGTAAATTATTACCATCTCAAAAACGATCTTTAAATGTAAAAATATATTTCTGGCTTTAAATAACCTGTAAAGGGTTGATAAGCTGTAAAAAATAAATCAACCAATAAAAATATGTGTAGTAACTGACCGCTTTGGCTGACGATCATGTAACGACAAGACTCATCAATGCTTCAGCGTTATCAATATTATGCTATTATTATCAGTATTATTATTATTATTATTATTAAATGCGAGAGTATCATGCTAAAAAAATGACACTGTGCTACAAATATACGAAACCCAGTAGACCCCTAATGACAGGCAATCTGATAATTCTGTGTTTGAATTAATCAGAACAGTGGATTTTATTCCAGTCTGCGATTATATCTTTGATCTGTGTGGTTCAAACCTAGAACATTTCCGAGTGGATCACCGTTCCTACCAATTCCTGCCTTGTCTTTTCTTTTTGTATCCCATTACGACATTCGCTGATTATGTGGCGTTTTTGCTTACAGTAGATCCAGGGGGTCACGTAAGGTGGTTAAAACTTACGTTAGGAGGCAATTTGTACGATTAGGAGAGGAAGGTAAACAGTTAACTCTAGACTTGAACAGGTTAAGATTTTAGTAGCCGTTCGCGTGAAAAAGCTGTTTGAGTGGTACTTACTTCTCACCGATGGAATGCAGAGTGAATGTAGTGGGTTTGCTCTAATGTAAGTGGTATGACGGGTTCTTGCTGTGAAGTTTAGAACTGGCGGAAGCAAGGAATGCAGTTCGTCCGATCACTTTCGGTGAAAGTATCGATAGAGCAACGAGAGATTTGCCATATCCCGCATGGGAGAGAAGGTTGGAGAGTGGAAAATAATTAGTCACCAAACAAGGACTTGGAGCCGCTTTTGGACGCTATCGAGGCTGAAAAGTGCGGTCTGTGCGACTCAAGACCAAACATCACGACAGTACTCAAATCTTAGCCTGATCTAACTCTTGTAAAGGCAGAGGCTTCTTCTTCTTCTTCTTCTTCTTCTTCTTCTTCTTCTTCTTCTTCTTCTTCTATTTATTATTATTATTATTATTATCGCTATTGGTGTTGTTGTTGTCCTTTTATAAATTTAGGATAATAAACGAACGGAAAATGATTCTAACAATTTTAAAGGCACAATGTTATAATAAAATGCAATAAAAAACAAATAAATTTCTCTATGCAATTACCAGAAATAAAAAAAAATCGATATGAATTTATTTTCTGTGCAAAATATTCAAATATGCCTGCAGACATACTTTTAAAGAGGAATTATTTAAAAACAGAAAAGAAAGAACTCGAAGAAACAATTTATACTTGTAGATAAAATGGATAGAATATATTAAAGATGGAAGACTTTGCCTTTCTGCAAAATTCCAAATTTACCGTTTCCATCAATATTTCTTCAAATGTTTTCCTTTCAGGCAAAATGCAGACATTTACATACAATTTCTTATCCAATGGAGACGACGCAAAAATCCCATTAACTCAACCCGGCACGGATTTTTCGTTACTTTATACTTTACAACCCAACAACGCATATAAAACTCTATCTATCTATCTATCTATCTATCTATCTATCTATCTATCTATCTATGGCCTGTCAGCAGGAATTAGACTACATAAGGGGCAGCGAGGTAAACAACCCCACAAGAGATAACATTTCGACCAATGTTCACATATCGTAGTGATTCTCAACTGGCGTGCCGATCCTCTTAAGTGTACCACGAAATATTACCTCGCCATTTTGATATGGTTCCTTCAATGCGTACAAACTTCATTAAAGAAATGATCTTTATTATGGTTACCCATTTGAAAGCTCTCGACGAAAACATCGACTATTATTTTCCGTCATTGAACACAGAAAATCATTCGAAATCTCTTCATAAATGTTCCTTTTAATATTGGACGTCAGTTATTTGAAGAAGAACTGGCCACCATTTCTAATGATCGGAAGCTAAGCATTCGACGCTGGCCATTGATACCTTTTGGGTTTCAGCACAAAAGGAATATCCCACATTAGCTGAAAAGTTTTTATCAGTTTTATTGCAATTTTCTACTTATTTATATGAATTAGGCCTCTCAACTCTAAATAACATCAAAATTTAGAAGCAAGAAAAACTACGCTCAATTGAAGAACACATGAGGGTCTGCTTATCACACATTCGACCAAACATTGAAGAAATCTCGTAAGAACACGGGTAGAGGTTTCACATTAAATAAGCTGTACAAATAGTTGAATAGAAACATTGAAATAAAGAAGTTTCATATCTGTGTGCGTATTTTTTTTAATCTATGGTTTCATTTTATAACATTTATATGTTTACCCTTTAAAAATATTGCTAAGTTTTCCGTAATATTTTCACTTGCTCCTAGATGTGTCGTTTCTTAAAAAGGTTGAGAAACACTCTCCTATAGTAACAAGTGTAAGTCCTATGTTTGCCTATAGACTCAAATATAAGCCTATAGAATTATGATGTGAAAAATGGATATATTTAAATATGATATTAAAAAGCGAGAGGAAATGTAAACACATACAAAATGGGGAGGGGGAGTTAGGATAAGAATCATTCTGAACAAAAAATCAACATCCTGTCAAGTGTTCCGAGAAATTAGAATCAAGATAAACGTTTCCAAAACCGAAAATATGACTTGGAATTGGAATGAAAACTGTAATGAATCCGTAAAGAAAAAATGGTAATGAAAACGGTAACATGAATCCATCATAAAAATACAGAATGTGGAATTAGCAAACATAAAACATTCAAATACCTCAATGTATGGACAAATTTAGTATAGGAGACATGGAAACTTAACATACAATAGGCTGCGCTAGAGGTAGTTCCATCCCACCACCGTAAATTGCTACAAAACTATGACATTAATCTGAAAAATCAAGTCATGTTCTTAAGTAGCCTCGTCAGACAGAGACTATCATACATGGCCCCAAATCCGTTCAGACATATCTAAACGTTCAGTTGTATACAACCACTTTCTTAAATCAATGTTTAAAATGGATACGAGTGAGTGAAGCCTGTGGATATTGGTGAAGACCACATTTTCTTCTGGCGCTACACAATCACGAACAAAGAACTGTGAGAGATAATAGAAACCACATCACTGGAGGACATTTAATTGTTGCAACATCTAAAATGGATATCACATGAGACTTGAAGAGAAAATAATGGCATAATATGCGGACATTTCAGACTACCCGAAACAAATGGCTCGGAAGAATATCTCCAATTGTTCTAAGATAAATATTTTATAATTTTCAACCTAAACTAGTACGGGCTTTTCGATCAACGAATGCTGAATGTTTCCTTATAAGGAAACGGTTAATATTACTATCATGGTTACCACAGATCTCGTTTGCCTATACTGGTCAATATCTAGATTTAGATTGCTTGATTAATAAAGATATGAAATGATTGAAATTGCAACGACAGAATCATATATTTTTATGCCTTTCACACACACACACACATATATATATATCTTTTTATGTCTGTTTTTTTTTTCTTTTTGACAGAGTTCCAATCCATAGTTATAATGGCGACGCTATTATTAAACAAATTAATACATTTTAATGAATACAAATGACCATAATTACATTACCTATTTTTTGCTATTGATACAAATATACGTTCTTCTTAATTTAATTTTGGCTGTTCGTCTCTATTTAATGCAAAGGCAAATAAGTTTATTCTTTTCAAGAAAAAGACGTGGCGATGCGAGTTACGAAAGAAAAGAAAAACAAGTATTTAATGTTGTCGCCGATTTGTTTTAATTAAGATTGAAGCCGAAAGAAGATCCCTTCGTCTTGTCTAAATCATTCTAAGATAATTAAATCTAATTTTCTAGGCATTTACAAGATAACCTAGAGAAAGAACAATTGGAAAATCACACATAAAATAAAGCAAATACTTGTTTCTATGTAAAAACTGACAACCTATATATTTATCTATCTACCTACCTTCGATATATAAAATTCTAAGACTTCCTTTTGCCCGTCGAGCCCACACACTAAAATACATTGACCGATCGAAACCAAATTTTGGGGAGAAGTGCGACCAGGTAAGGGGGGGGTTACAAACTACAATTGGTTTTACTAGCGTGCATAGTTTAGAACAATAAATTCTCATTCATTTTTTTGAAAAATTCAAAGTTGTATTATTTAACATACAAAATACTGCCACTATTTTAAAAACAATTTGATGATTAAAATAATAAATACTTATTTAATAAAAAGGCAATATTGATTTTGTATATCTTTTCTTTAAGATAAATTTTACATTATCTTATATACAAGAATCCAGTTGCCAGTTCGCCTTTCGTTTACGAGAACTATAAAGAAATCACAAAGCCAAATGCTTAAAAACATTGGAATTTGATTCCAGAAAGAAATGTTTACACATGGTCAGTTGGATGTCGCATGAGCAAGAGTAAGAAATCCTAAGAATTTATCCTTCGCTCTTAAAAAGGAAACAAAAAAAGAAATTTTCTTAAAAATTATTGTTTACTATGAAGTCCTATTAAATAAAAAAAATTAAATATTATACCCCGATGTAGGGTTTTTGTTAAATTATTTTTCCAAACAAATCAGCTTATTCAAATTTCATCGATTGGTTTGCGAAATTGGACGAAATGTATGATTTGTAAATCTTGAAAAAAATGTTAGCGATACATTTAACGATACAAAATATTGTGAGGTTTTTAACACGCGTTAGGGTGTTGCAAAAATTCTAGTATAAAAAAAAATCTAATGGTAATTCTAGCAAAAATAGAAATGTCATATTGTTAGGAATCAAATATTAAATGCAGCATCGAATAGG